GGTTTCTTCTTCTCGTTCTCTAACCTTTTCTTCTAAATTATTGATAATGGCTTTGGTTTCTTCTTCTCGTTCTCTAACCTTTTCTTCTAAATTATTGATAATGGCTTTGGTTTCTTCTTCTCGTTCTCTAAGCTTTTCTTCTAAATTATTGATAATGGTTTTGGTTTCTTCTTCTCGCTCTCTAACCTTTTCTTCTAAATTATTGATATTGGCTTTGGTTTCTTCTAAATATTTGAATTGTGAACGTAACTCTTCGTTACTTTCCTCTAATTCCTTAATTCTCGTTTCCAAATCTTTTAGGCTTTTTTCTAAATTGTTCTTTAAAACCATTTTTTTTTCTAATTTGTTCTGATGATTATTTCAATGAATTTTATTTATTTTCTTGCAAAAATTACAATAAAAAATTCTCTTTACTCAGCCCTCGGTTTAAATCTTTTACAACTGTTAATTTTTCCATAAATAATCTAATCAACTTAAAAAGGATCTAACCGCTTTCTTGTCTTACCAAATAGAGTCAACTGCTTTCTGAAATTGGTTTAGATTTTTATATAATTCTTCTTTGAGGGAATTAACAATGATTGACGGTAATAAAGTTATTTAGGGAACGGGGACCGTTGTTTAGTCCGTTAACTGAAAAAAAAAAAATTGCAAAGCCAATCAGCATCGTGTCAATTTTTGAGCGGGCGGACATTGGGACACTTAGTCCTTAACTTAATTACCATGATGTAAATGACAAAGATCACCCCCTGATTTTCGTAAGAGTCCGTTTCCAATTTTATGATTTTATTAAAAATTAGGATAAAATAATGATGTGAATGAAGATACTGTCATAAAAAAATTGTATATCAATTCGGACGAGAGACGTGATAAATTTCTTTGTGACGAATTATAAGTTAAATCAATTCTATCTATATACTGCCGAGTAAGAAGTATTGAATTAATTGACATCATGCGCAAGGAATTACTGCGCCTTCTAAGTGATTACTTTTCAATGATTGCGTTTTACCCCTACCTTAAATATCAAAAAAAAAAAAATTTATATAACTCCTAACCTTCAGGAAAAACTACGAAAAGTAAACATAATTCTCAGTACTTCTGATGTATTCCCAAGGATAAATTAACTCAAGAAAATTATATTTTATTTTTTAAAATATGGTAAAAAATGTTTGCCTTCATTTAAATCTTTTAGATAATGAATACATATGATGATTATTCTCCAAGACCTTATTGTCGGATCATTGCTGAAATATGAAGATTAATTTATCTGTTTTGGATCTTGAAAATTTCAAGTTCTAATTTGTCCATTTCATTTCTTTTTCTTATCATTTTTCTTTGCTTTAATTGTGTTGTGCTTCTAATTTTTGTTCCCGTATCTCACGCGCATTTTTCAATTACGAGCCTGTCTTGAAATTAGAATGCAATATATGGATAAAGAAGAACTTTAGAAAAGCCAAAATAGAGATCCTTTATGAAACAATTTACGGAAATAATAATTCTTTCTATAATTAATAGCTCTAATGTTATTTTAGATAAATAGAATTGAGATTTATAAAGGCGTAAAAATTTATCGATTTAATAAAAAAATTTATTATAAGAATTTTAATATAGTTTAATATAATTTAATATACCGTTATAAGTTGTAATTAATTGCAACTAGTCGTAACTAATTATAGCACCATCGTTAATCTCGCTCATTACATTTATTGACAATATTGTTATTATACGTATATCACCAAAAAAATCGAAAACAACAGTAAAATTTATATATCCTTACATTCACGTTGGGTTTGATATCAACTTATCAAATCAAAGCTATGTATAGTCTCGTATAAAAATTTATTAATACAGTTCTAATCAGTTCAAAATTAAACTTCGGTTCTTGAAACTGATATAGAAGGTAATTTCCCTTAAATATCTAAAATCTTTAAAATTTAATGAAATCCACTTAATGAATAATACATGGTAACTTTAAAAAACTTGTAATACCTCGTTGAACAAATCCAAAGAATATATTTTATTTTCTTTAGATGCTATTGCACAAAGTATTATTTGAAATGGAAATTATTTTTTATTTATTTTTAAACAAATCTTTTATTACATGAGAGTGGCAATGTTTTTGCAGAACTAAAAAGGAATTGTCAAGATTCAAGAATTTCTTATAAAATTCAATAATATGATACATTGATTTCAGCTCTCTAGCGTCATGTGATTAAATGTTATACATTTTCATAACGTTAACAACTAAATGTAAAAATTTAAATTTTTGGACCCTAGAACTTTATTTGACAATAAAATCAATAAAATAAGTCCCAAATTTAACCTAAAAAATTTTTTTAGAGCATCCTCCCTTTCTATATTTCTATTGCAAAATACCCAATTGATAAAATTTCATGTCACATACGAAGGCGACTTCATATGTTTCTAATTATTAAATGTATATTGTGGTTCTTTGCTCGAAAAAATTTCGATAGTAGACAATTTGTTTATATGATATTTTGAACTACGACACAACAAAACCCGTGTGCTTTTCAAGGCGATATTTTTTTTTTTGTTTTAAAAAAAAAAGACGAATCAAAAGTTACCTTGTTGAGAATAATCAACTACACCTTATTCCTTCAAAAATGATTCGAAGGACCACGGATTCAAAATTAATCCTTGATTTTTTAGTTATCACGAGTTGTAACACATAGTGCTCCGTAAGGGTCGGGTCGGATCGGGTATAAGACATACTCGAACTCGAACCCGTTAATATTACAGAAACCGATCATTGTTCGACTCGGATTCGACCCGACCCGATTAATGTTTAACCCGGGCTCAACTCGAAATCTCAAGGGATGCTTTGAGCTTAATGGACAGTGGTTTAATATATAGAAAAAAAATTTAAATACTTACCTCGATTCGACGCTGCGCCTCAACACTGACTAAAAATCAAGAAAAAGACGGAAGGCGGTTTTATTTTAAAATACTTACCCGATTCGGCGCTGCCTACATATCATTACATTATTTTATTACTTTTTAAATTTATTTATATTAATATTTTATTTTTATAAACAAAAAAAGATAATTTTTATTAAAATTGCAAATTATTTATAAATTGAAACTTTATATTATTCTATTACTGATAATTTCGAGACTAATAATGGTATGACTCCTATGGAACCCAACATTATCATTGTTTTTTTGAATTACCTTCTAAATTATTTTTTTTATTATTTTCAATTTCATTTATTTTCGATTCGGTAAAGCATCCAAATGTCTGAAGTCGCGGGAATCCAAAATCTGAAGTAGCATTTTTTTTTTATAGTTATCGTATATTCGATTTCAAATTGTATAATTAGTGCCTAATAATCTTACATTTGCAGGTGTGCTGAATATTGATAAATAAATCTCTTGAAAAAAAAATTTTTTTTAAACAAGTAATATAGTTGATGACAATGTAGCATGAGCTTCGGAAGCAATTGCAATTTTAATATTATTATTTGCAAAAGTTTATTTTTTGGAATGATTGAATTTATTTATTTTTTTTTTTTTTTAAAAAGAAATTTTTTTTAATGATATCAGAGATATTATAGTTCACAAATTCACCAAATCACTTAAAATCTGTTTTTGATTTTTGGATGATTTCTAAATTGACATTTCGGT